CCCCCCCCCATCCAGTCTGTGCTCTGGCTGCTCACCACCCCCGGCACCGGCTGATATGCCTTGGGCCCCACACACCCCTAGGGTCGGCTCTGGGTATAAGTGGTCAAAATGAAGTGATTCAAGTTATCTTCTGGAGGCTGTGCTTCTGGCAGTATTTAAAAGTGCTTCTCTGGTAGGAGTCTTAGTACCATATTGGAAAGTATGTTTGCTAACCTTCTTTTAAGTTAAACATGACTTAATACCTTGGGTAGTTTTTAAACATTAAGTTAGTTGTGACTGACCCCTAAAATTAATTACATTTGCTAACAGAGGTCTGCCCTTGTCCATGTCAAGAGGCAAGACTGTATTTAGTATCATGTTACTGTGTTTTTAACATGATGCATTTTCCCAATGTAGACAGAGGCTTAAGAGGGTAAAAGTTTAGCCTGCCTTTTCCTAAATTAAATCTTTCTCCTCCCCGTGCCTACAGTAAAGCCCATCCCTGCCTTCAGGACAGAGAAGCAGCTGTACTTCTTTCAACTAACAATCAGCTTTAGTTCATGGGTTCTGTGTGATGAAATTTACATGCTTCCTGCCAATAATCTGTCTAAATGTCACAGTTAAATTAGTAAGCACTCTCTCTTCACATGTCTCAAGCTGTATTCTATACCTGACTTTGCAGAACATGAATTGAATGAAGTAGTTTTAAATAAATGCAGTACTCCAAAATCTGGCTTAACCAATAATATCTTGAACCCTGGCCCCAAAAGATTTTCCCCTTGTAGGGTTTTATGAAATTTAGTGGATTTATCTGTTCTAAGAGCCAACACAGATACCTTAAACCTATGTTTAAGTATACAGTGTGTCCAATGGGCTCTTCAAAATGTAGCATTTGTGATAAAAAACTAAGATTGCTCCTCCTCTCCCTGTTCTTCTTGTACAAACTTATGAGAAGTTAGTGCCAGATCCTGCACATACTGAAGCCAGCTGAAGTCTATAGAGGCTTCAAGTCCTAATTGTTATGTTAGGCTGAGGCAGAATCCTTTCTTAAAACTTAGGAGCAAATCCTAGGGCTACAGGGAAGGGTGGGTAAAAATCAATGAAATTTTATTATGTTTGGTTTGGATTTGAAAAATCCAATTTTTATGTATATAAAATTGGATTTTTCAAATTCTCATATAAAATTATGATTTTTTTCTTTTTAGAAATAAATCAGGTTAAAATGAAATTTGAATGTAACACAGCATAGGCTAAGGTATGAAGTCACATCCAACCAGATGCGACTTGGCCACCTTCCTCAGTGGCTTGCTGGAGGGCGAGTTCAGTAGAGATGGTGGGGACTTTGCCTCACTGTGGAGCCGAGTCTGCAACACCATGCGCTGCCTCAGTGAGCACATTGGCTGTGCCTGGACTTGGACTGAGGAGCGCCGGGAGCTGGGAGTCTCCCTGCAACCAGCCCTGCACGCTGTGATGCCCCACATGAGGACCTTCCTGGAGCGGTTCCTGAAGGACGCCATCCGAAACAAGTACACCAGTGACCTGAGGGCCAAACCCAACCAGGGCAAGGTCTTCAACGTCACCTCAAAGTCAGACTCCAGCAACCACTTCATGCCCAGTGGGAGCTTCATGCACTTCGCGGACTGGCACTTCCTCCAGCGTGCCTGCCTCAACTGCCTGCCTCTGAATGGGGTCGTCCGCTTCGACCACCAAGACAAGAGGTGCCGACGGCTTGGCTCCACGGCAGAGACCCTTCCCCACGTGCTGTGCAGCTGCAGGCTGCATGCCAGAGCCTGGCAGCTCCGCCACAACGCTGTCCAGGACCGCCAGGTGAGGGCCATCCCAGCCACGGCGGGGGAGATCTCTGTGAACCGCACCATCCCGAGCTGCAAGAGCTAGATGCGTCCCATCATGATCATGAACGAAGAAGCCAAGATCATGATCATGGACATGACCATCCCCTTCAAGAGCCAGTGCCAAGCCTTCACTGACACCTGGGCTCGTAAGTGGGAGAAGTATGCCCCGATAGCTGACATCCTGAGGGGCCATGGCTATGATGTGCCAGTCGATGCACTCATCGTGCGAACGCTCAGAGCCTGGGACCCCAGCAATGAGACCATCGTGTGTGCCTGCTCCTGCTGCTACGCCAAGCTTATGCACTGCCTCACAGTGTCCGACATGATCCGCTGGTCCTGTGACATCTACATGAAGCACACCACAGGGCACTGCCAGTACACCGATCCCACCAGTCCAACCACCGCTGGACCGGACCCAGAGGGGACTGCCTGAACCCTGCTCTGCACCTGATGGGCTTCACTTTGAGAGGAATATTCAGCAATGGACCACCCCACTCCACACAAAGATGAGACTCTATATGGACTGAAAAACTTTCTTTGACCTACTTCCTCCACCGTTGTGGACCATTGTACGGGTTTGTGAACATCTTTCTTCTTTCTCTCTCAGCATTCCAAGTCCCCTCCCTTCCCTTAACCACCCCCCCGGGCTTAGTTGGCTAACATATTTTTTGTAACTTAGTTGCGCTCCTCACCCGCATCCTTCTTACGTTAGTCCCTTGCTCGGGATATCTGTATTTCCCTACTGGCTTTGTCATCTTTTTGGATTCACAATTCTAAACATCCATGAATAAAATTTACTCTATTAAAATAATGTAAAATATGTTGAGTCAATACATTCCTACTCTTTAACTCTGCAGTTACAGGCTGGTTTGCTTCTATATAAGAACGAGGGGGAAAACAGCTAACATTTCAGGTCAAGCTTTAAAAATATGGCACAATATTTCATGTATTAGAGGCTTAACCCTGCAAAGGTCTATACTACTGGATGCAAAGGATAAGCAAAGTTATCACAGGCATGGGAACTTGGCCTCTGACTTTGGCAGACACCATCATATATAATCCTTGATGAGGATTATCCAGAGTCCAACTGGATCATATCAAACTCCTGCTTTATTCCCTTTACCCGAGTTCTAATTAGCAGGGAAGTGAACTTTTTGGGACATGTGATCTCCATGGAGGGGTTATGCCTAGATCCAGAGAAGGTGGAAGCTGTTACAGCCTGACCAATACCTTGAAATATAACAGAACTGCACAGCTTCTTTGGTTTAGCTTCCTATTATAGAAGATGTGTGGCAGACTTTGCTACTATCGTAAACCCCTTAAATAAGCTCTCTGATTAGCTCTATAAAGATGAATTTCACCTTAAACTGTGGTTGCTGTCATCTGCTATCTTAGCATATTCTGACCCTTCTTGTTGGACACCGATGCAAGTGACGTTGGTATTGGAGCTGTTTTGTCACAAGCTGAAGGAGGCCAGGAAAAGGTACTAGCCTCTGCAACTTGAGCCTTAAACAAAGCTGAGTGTCAAGATACAACTACAAGAAAGAAATAGACTGCTGTGACCTTTATCAAACATTTTCAGCATTTCCTCTTGGGGAGAGGTTTCACATTAAATTTGCAACAGCCCAAAGGACAACTGGTTAGATGGTTAGAACAACTGGCTAAGTTCAGCTACCAAATAGTGCATTTCCTGGGAGGCGGCACCAGAATGCTGATGCCTTGTCCCATAGGTCTTTGACAGGGCCCTGCCCAAACCACTGACTTACCAGATGACAGGTGGTCAGCAGGAGCCTGGGGAAGAAGAAAGGCACACAGCCCTGCTTGAGGGGACACATGCCCAGCTGCTCTGGATCAGCCTGGGTCCAGGTGGCTGGGCTCTAATCTGACTGGCTGGCAGCATGCCAGTTGGAAGGTATGCACTGATTAGCCTGGAGGAAAAGGGCTAAGGGGCAGGCCAAAGAGAGAGAGGCAGGATGCAAGGAGTGGGTCTGTGTGTTCCCCCTACCTCTGGAGCAGAGAATCTCACCAACACAGACAGTGACAGGCTACAGCCCACACCAGAGCCTGCCTGTGAAGCAACATAGGTCAGGTGGGGGAAGACAGCAGGCAGCATGGAGAAGCTAGGTGGGAGAATGGCTGAGGAGATTGACTCATACTGCCAGGCCCTTCACCAGAAGACAGAAAAGCCAGGGGTCACCTGAACGAAGGTCATCTCCAGCCCCAAGGCACACTGCACCAGGGTCACCACTCACCTGGACCTTCGCAACAGGTATGAAATCCTTGCAGCGCCAGATGAGCCAGCAGAACCACCAGTTCCTATACCTGAAGAAGGGTATCCTGCAACCACCCCTAGGAAGAAAACGCAGAGTGGTTGTTGTGGGAGACTCCCTCTTGTGGGGGACTGAGGGAGCAATCTGCCACCCCGACCCCTCAGCCTGTGAGGTCTTCTACCCCAGGGCCCATATCTGGGATGTAGCTGATAGGATCTCAAAACTTATCCAGCCCTCTGACTACAACCCTATACTCCTTATCCATGCGGGCACAAAATGATACAGCTTGGAGCAATTCCAGCCGGGTCATGAATGACTACAGGACTCTAGGAGCAGGGCTTAAAGGGTTGGGAGCACAGGTGGTTTTCTCTTTGATCCTTCCCATTACAGGTCACGGGCATAGGAGGATGAGAAGAATTCAGGAAGTAAAACAGAAGACTGTGGCGCTGGTGCCATCATGAAGGCTTTGGCTTCTACAACCACAGACCACACTTCAGAGAGACAGAGCCAGGAAGTTATTGGGAAGGGACAGCCTCCACCTCACTCACACAGGGAAGAAGCTCTTCTCAGCCAGAATGGCTGACCTGCTTGACTGGGCTTTAAACTAAGTTCACTGGGGGAAGGGCAGATGATCACTTGTACAAGCCTATGAAGCATCAACCAAACCACCTTGCTGTACAAGGAAACAAACTCCTACCCACCCCAAGGATGGGGATCTTCCAGGAGTCCAGGGAAACCTAGGGCTGCCAATGGGAAACTCACCTGCCTTTACACAAATGCCAGGAGCCTGGACAACAGACAGAAGGCGCTGGCTCTACAGTAATGATTTAGAGATAATGGAGACCTAGTGGGACTCCACCTGTGTCTGGACCACAGGTATAGATGGCTATACCTTGTACAGGAGAGATTGTGTTGCAAGGAAGGGCAGGGGTGTAGCTCTCTATGTGAAAGGGAAATGTATTGCTCCACAGGTGGAGACTGGCAACCAAGGATGGCTACTTGAGACCTTTTGGGTAAGAATAAGCATGGTACGTGGTGAGGGGGATATAACGGTAGGAGTTGACTACAGATCTAATCAAGAGCAAGAACTTGACCAACAGTTCACCAGAGAACTGGCTGAGGCGGTACGCTCTTGGTACATGGTTGTCATGGGCGATTTTAACTACCTGGACATCTCATGGGAAGACAGCCAAATCTGATTGGTTGCAATGCTTCTTCACAAGCATTGATGAGCTTTGTTTGTGTCAAGAAGTCTACAGACTGACAAGGGTAAGGTGCTGCTGGACCTGGTCCTGGCCAAAAGGGATGATCTAGTCAGTGACCTGAGAATCTAAGGGAAGCTGGGAGACAGTGAACATGAGTTGATCACTTTCTCTATTCACCGCAAAACTGGCAAGTCAGTCAGCAATACGAAAATCCTTGACCTTAGGAATGCCAACTTCCACAAGTTTAGGAAGCTAGTTGTTCAGGCCCTGAGAAACCACAATCTGGCAGGGAGGAATGTCCACATGAATGGTCACTCCTTAAGGATGCAATCCTTGAAGCACAAGGGAAGTCCATTCTAACCCACAGAAAAAGTAGCAAAAGGGCTGGACGACTCCCTTGGCTCAATATGGAACTCAAAGACCTCCTGCATCCAAAAAAAGAGGAAGTTTATAAAGGATGGAAGATGGGGAAACACCACTAAGGAGGAGTACTCAGCACTAGCCCACACTTGTAGGGAATAAACTAAGAAAGCCAAGGCTAAAACCGAGCTCAAACTGGCCACTCAAATTAAGGGCAATGAAAAGTCCTTCTTCAAATATGTGGGAAGTTAGAAAAAGAACAAGGGTAACTTTGGGCCCTTATTAAACCAAGCAGGGCAGCTGATAACTGACACTCAGGAAAAAGCCAATCTCCTTAATGACTACTTTGCATCAGTCTTCCATCAGCCCAGTGGGATCACCCTGGCTGACAAGAGGCAGGATCACTAGGGGAAGGGCGAACCTGTGCCCATCATTACCACTGATCTTATGAGGGAACACCTTAAGAGGCTGGACATCCAAAAATTGACCGGCCCAGATGGAATGCACCCAAGAGTGCTAAAGGAACTAGCTAACATTATAGCATAGCCTATGACAAGGATATTTGAGAACTCATGGTGCTTGGATGAGGTGCCTGATCCTATTGTTTCCCTAGGAATGGGAGTGGGCAGCTAAAGTGGTGTAAAGTCTGTCAATCCAAAGCCCACAAATATTTTTGCAAGGGCACAAAACTTTTTAGCTTCTTCACTGACACACAACTACTAAAGAACTATGGGACTACTTCAAGCAATGTGTAAAGACACATATGGTTTGAAAAACCCCCAGTAATTACATTTAATGAAACCATTAGAGGAATATTCAGAAGTGATGCTTAACCTATAAGACTTATTTTATGAATAAATAATAGGCACTTTGGGGCACTGTGTGGGGGCTGCATCCCAAACAAACACTGCAGCTGCTAAACCCAGCGTTGTCCCTAAACCCAAGAAGAAGGATAATGTATTGGGGT